AAATCCAAATTTTGAATGTAAAAAAAACTTAGCTAACGTTATGAGCTGTTTATAAACAGTTATAAATTACGAGGACACAAAGCAAATCGCCTCAACACTACAATGTCATTTTATTAATTTGTGTTTCGTATGTGACACACGCACACACACACAGCGAAAAATATGGGTCCATCAACACAAGACATGTCTTATCGTCCTTGTGAGCCTGCAGGGTTGATAATCTCCGTTCAGAAAGTTGACAGGGTAATAAGTTTGTTTACCTGCTAAAGCGTAGCCGCCTGGGTTTATCAGGCTCTTCCCTGATGAGATTCCACCTGAGAGCAGATAGAAAGAGCCTTCGCCGATAAAACGGCCCACTGCTGCACCTGCATAACACAGGTAGGCATATTGGTTTACTTTTTTTCTTAAGATTGAAATGATTAAACATAGGCTACTGGTTGAAATGGATACATTGAAATATATTGTTAACTGCATTTTTTCACAGTTTGATCTAGGCTATAGCACAACAAAATTTATTAGTTCATTTTATTTTCGGCTTCTTTTAAGCTTAGTCCCTTTATTGATCTGGGGTCGCCACAGCGGAATGAACCGCCAACTTATCCAGCACATGTTTTACACAGCAGATGCCCTTTCATCTGCAACCCATCACTGGTAAACATCCTTATACACTCATTCACACATACACTATGGAAAAATTTGCTTATTCAATTCACCTGTATCACATGTTTTTTGGACTTGTGGTGAGAAATCAGAGTAGAGAACCAGCGACCTTCTTGCTGTGAGGCGATTGTGCTACTCACTGCGCCACTGTGCTGCCCTGCACAACAAAATATTTTATTTAATTTTGTTTTAATATTTTATTTAATAGTTTTATCACATATTATTTATATATTCATTTTATACACAATTTTTAAATAATTATTTTTTATTTTTAATATGAATGCATGTATTACTATAATTGCAATATTTTATTTATTTTTAATTTATTTGATTATTACCATTTTTTATATTTATAAATTGTTTGTTTATGTATTTTACCTTTTATCAAACGTTTGTGAATATATTTCTATTTTCTTAATAGTTTTTAGTTATTTTTATTTTAGTTTAAGAATTTTATCACACGTTAATGTGTATTTTGTTTACGTTTTTAGTTATGATTTTTGTCATAATAATAACTATATTATATTATTATCGTAATTGTTATTATTATGTGTTTGTTCATATTCATTTTTTATCCTTATCTTTATTTTTATTTTCTTACTTTAATTTTACTCACTATTTAAAATTTTATCATATGTTTTAGACATTTTGTCACTTTTTTCATAGCATTTCTTTCAATATTTAGCGTATTTTGTGTGTAGTGTGTGTAGTCATGTTTTTTCTTCACCATTTTATTATTATATTAGCATTATATTCTATTTTATTTCTATTTTATTTAATTCTTATTTTTATCACATTTTAGTTCTAACAGTTTTTTTAATACTGATAACAATTTTGTATAATTTTATTATCTTAATTATGTATTGAATCATTTATGTGTTCTTATAATTTTATTGAATTAGCACATGGCGACACAGTGGCTCAGTGGTTAGCACTTTCGCCTCAGCCACAGCAAGAAGGTTGCTGGTTCGAGCTCCAGCTGGACCAGTTGGCGTTTCTGTGTAAAGTTTGTTGTCCCTGTGTTCATCTGGGTGCTCCGTTTTCCCCCACAGTCAAAAGACATGCGCTACAGGTGAATTAAATAAACTAAATGGCCAAAGTGTGTATTTGAATGAGAGTGTATAGATGTTTCTTAGCACTGCTACAGCTGTAAGGCCATCCACTGTGTAAAACATAAGTTGAATAAGTTGGGAGTTAATTCCGCTGTGGCAACCCCTGATTAATAAAGAGACTAAGGCGAAGGAAAATAAATGAATGAATGAATTAGCATATAATGTAAATCCCATGATTTGACTGCTTGACTTACCATAAACAAATACTGGCATGAAATAACCAGCAGGTAAAGGTAAAGTACAAGCCACGACCAGCAGCCCCACCTTACAGAGAGACATTAGAAATCACAAAATGAGCTGAATACAGAAAAACACAATAATAATCTAATTGATACTCAATGTATTTCACCTTGGTGATAATGAAAAATGTCAGCGTTTGGAAGTAACTTTTGCCTGGTGGATTCCAGGCCTGCCAGAATGTGTTTTGTGGCTCAGGCAGTGCAGATATATTCTGGGAAATGTTATACCAGGAAGTGCCATCTAGCATCGAAGTAAGCAGCTGCCTCATTGTGAGCTATTAGAAAACCAAAGAGAGTAAAGTACAAGTCATGAACACCTAAGATTGATTCACTGCCAATTTTCCAGAAATAGGCCTATATCCTCACCTCAGAAGCTATGAAATGTCCCGCCGAGTGATAAAACGTAAAGCAGGCTAGAAGAAATGCCACTATGGCTGAATAAAGTGACTTTCTGGATATTAGGAATGTAAACAAGAGGCACATCTGGGTTAGATCACAGCAAAATATCAAAACACAAATCTGTTAACATACTGGGCCCGGTTTTTCGAAAGGTTTAATCCGGATAAAATTGATCCTGATTTAGTAATCCTGTTTTTGCGATCCGTGATCACGTAATCCAGCTTACTTTTTGAGCCAGTTTTTCAAAGCAACATCGGATTGGATCAATCTGATCCGGATAGGAACTTTTCAGGATCACTAAATCTGGATAACCAGTGCTCAAACAGGATAGGACATCACAATGTAGAACTATAGATTTGTAAAGAGTAGAATAGCCAGCATGGGGTCAATATAACTTTATTTTTATTTGAAATTAAAACTAAGAAAATTTGATAATTATTTAAATAATAATAATAATAAATAATAATAAAAACAAGAAAAACAACACCCCATCCTCTTAAAGCAGTCCGCTCATTTGAGACCTACAACACTGTACATTGAGGATATTTATAATAAGTTTCAAATATAGATGTAAATAAAAAAAGACTTAATGTCAAAAACTCCACAATAATATCCGACTTCGTTATCTGATGTGGAGAGAGCAGCTTGTCTGAGCATAGCCTTTAGGAGGCAGATCTTAAGTCATTGGCCTTGGTTTGCTGCAGTTTGGTCAGAATCAGTTGTTTCTCTGCCAGATGAAGCTGTGCTTCTGCCCTTTCAGTCTCTTTTTGCAATTGTTGAAAGAGATTTTAAAAATCAGTCACTGCCATTCTTTGTATTTTTTTTATTCTGCAATCATTGCATGCATCACTAATAAATATTCTAAAAAGAAAAATATTTTCCATTGTGATGAATATATATATCAGCTAGTGACAGAATAAAATGTATTGTTTTTGGTCAGTTTTGACAGCTGTTTGGGGGATTGTTTTATGAGGCCAAACTCTTTCTACTTTGCTGTAGGCCTATACTGAAAGGCTGAATACATTAAAGCCTATAATCACTATAGCCTGACGGATAAACAAATAAAACGAAAACCTTATGAATAAATAGTATATCTCGTAAGATGGTGCATGATCCAAAAATAGTATTATTTAATAAATTTTTCAGTTTTCATTACATTTTGGGCACGAAATCCACGCTAAATCCAACCTTCTGATGGGATCAGTTTAATCCAGGTTTTTTGGATCAAAGTGATCCAGATCCTACAAAAAAGGTCTGAAAAACCCAAACTCAAGGTTTGATCCGGATCAAAACCAAGATTAGATTACGTGATCTAATCCAATTAGGTAATCCGTTTTTTCTTTTGAAAAACCCATTTTCAAGATTTGATCCAATCCCTTTTCCAAAATCCTAGTGGATTACTTTTGAAAAACCGGGCCCTGGAGATCAAAATTAGTGAACAACCTGCAATTTCCTCAATTTCAAGAACATTGCTTAGTCCTCTTTGTAGTTGTCTAAAAATAAAGGTGCCATTTTTAAAGCATATTTCAGGAGTTTCCTATTTATTCTGATTTATGTTGTCTAATTTTTCAGCAACCCGATTTCACCAAGTAGGACATGTTCCTGGATTAACATCTAAATTGATCCTGGAAAAACATTCAAATCAGCTAATCAGGATTAAGGGATGTGTTTACCGCTTTTGGTTAAGTTTGCTTTTTCAGATCTCGATTTTCTCTCATGGATACCATTCCTACCTGCTGCTTTCATGTAAATCCACCAGAGGCTGCTGTCGACTGACAGACTGACTGACTGACCGACTGTCCGATTCCCCCACGATCCCTCTTTCCTAAATCCAACTGACAGTGTTTTCAAAAGCAATCCAGAAAAAGAAAAGCCCTCACGGCCGCCTGATTTTTACCACATTTTTTAGATCGTACCACATTCTCACTCTTATTTACTTGTTTCTATTATTTTTTGCCTTTTGTTTTTGTTTTACCTGCCTTCTGGAATCGTTCTTTGCCAGACTCAAACCCCATTGTTGCGGTCAACTTCTCTCTGCGTCTCAAGTCTGCCAACTTAAATGGCGAGCTACTGGGCAAACAGCGGAACAGCTTTCCACAAGGAGGTATGTGGTTGGTGACATCATATCGCCCTCTAGCTTTTGTTTTAAAGTTGAAATGCAGCCGTACGTATTGTTGCTTTGGCTAAATAATTCACGATCTTCAGAAATGTATACAGGGGTACGTTTTCACATTGAGCCTTTGTTCGCATCCTACTTGGCAAAATCATGACGTGCTCTTATTGATTGTTAAGTTTTAGTTCTCTAGTTTAATTTTTTTTAACAAATATATAAAGGTTTTTATTGAAGTCTGTTTGTTAGTTTGTAAAACACTGTTCTACCAGCATGGTACAACCAAAATTAAAATAATATATTATTTAATATAATACATAATATTTAATTTATTTAATATTTAATAATATTTAATATTATATGTGAATGATGATGTTATTTGTAAAATAAAAGTAAAGTGTTTTCTTTTAAAAAAGAAATGAATTTTTTGAAGACTATAATTATTTTAGTTATTATTCTTATAAAATTAGAAAATGAACCTAAAAAATATAATGCTAAATTACAGCAAGATTTTACTAGTAATCTCATATGTTTGGACTATATTATAAAACAAAAGCCAGAGAAAAGCTCTTTCAAATAGTATAATATGCAAAATAAGGGGGAAATATGCAAGAAGAAAAAAAAGTATTTGATTAGTGGCAAGTCTGTCAAATCTATTAAACAGTGTGATATGATTTCCAGTCTGTGGAAATTAATCTTTCCGCTCACTCTGTTGCCAAAAATGTGCTGATGGGTTTGTTTGTTTTGACAAAACGCAGAGCCCAGCGATGACAGAGTAAGTAAATACAGCTGAGAATACTGCAAAACAGCCTGAATCAGAGAGAGAGAGAAAAAAACCATTAGAACAGTTACTCTTTCATAAATACCCATAAGGTTACAGATATGAGTAAGTTGTATTTAACTTTTCACTGTCTGTTGCCAATCTCTTAACCACAAGCTTACCCAAGCAGAGCAAAAATTATTATTTCAAAAGGCTGAAAAGGCAGATCAGTAGAAAAGCTGGTCTTAAACAGGGCTTGGATTGTGTCTGCGGAAAGAGATTAAATAAGTATTGAATAATTTCTCTCGTATATCCTTCAGGCTGTGTAATCATATCTAAATTCAATAATGTCAATTCATAGCATCCCCTAATGCAATCTAAAAGCACAGCGGTAAATGAGATTACTGCAAAGACAGCAAAAGCATCCATTAGGTGGCGCTGTAGGAAGTGTAAAGCTCTTACCTTGATCTCCAATACAGACAGAAAGCAGCCTGAAGGTGATGGCGCCGCACGCCGCTGCAAAGAAGCAGGGGCAATAATCGCTGACTGAATAATGAGTCCCCATCACCTCTATACTGAAGAGAACGCCTGTGACAATGAGACAGAGATAAACATGAGCCAAAGGTCAGCTGACAGTGCTGGCTACCAACTGATTGTCATTTGAATTTTAAATGGTAAATACAATTTAAAATATTAAATCAGACTACACTTTCATGACTCCATATTATTGACAAAGATTTCAATAAATTATTTGTAATTTATTGATTTCTTCTAAAACCCAAAGCACCCTCGGGGCTTTACACATATACGCTAGTATGAACTGTTATTGGGGCCAAAAACCTTTTAAAATAAATAAAATTTGATTGAACACACACTGACTTTTTTTTTCCATCTTAAAGGAGTAGTTCACCCAAAAATTAAAATTACCCCATAATTTACTCACCCTGAAGTCATCATAGATGTATATGACTTTCTTCAGTCAGACGAGTAGTTTTAAATCTGATCCACTGTAAGAAATGCTGAGTTTCACACAATTCCTTCTTGTTGTCCCAACACAAATAAATTAAGTTGACTTTATTGTTTAAAAAAAAGGTTGTTGATTGAACAATACAATTAAGTTGTGACAAAAAAACTCAGGAATTGTGTTGATTCAGCTGATTCCTGGCAGTTTGAAAAAGCAGCAACAAGATTTTTTTGAGTGTTGCTCTTCCATGCTGTATAAAGATAATAATAAAACTAACCCATACACCGACAGGGATTTAACATTTAACTGTGTGTCATTGTAAGAGTAATGTACTATATAATGGCATACTAAAATGCCAAGCCAACTAATTTTTCTAATCGTATAGTCTTCTTTTGTGACAAACTGGTTCCAATGAGATGCATCTATTTCAGGAGCTTCTGCTACAAACGCATCTTATATCATGCATCAATCATTGTTTTCAGGATCCCCAAAATGACAATGTACATATAATTCTTCAGTAACACTCTGTAACAGGCACACCACCTTTATAATCCTGCCGTGACAGATGATATGAATATGAAGGAGATTTTTTTCATGCTTATGACAATTTTCATTCATTCACTTACTCAAGCAAGCGTACGATTGTGTCTTTGTTATGACTTGACATAACCAAATACATAACAACCTGTTTTTGTCTAAATGACAACAAAATGTGTCATAAAACTGTCATAAACATAATTGTCATGAAGCCTGTCATGGTGGACTCACACAGAACAAAGAAACACATGATGTAAACAGAAATCACATAGGACATGATACAGCAACTAGATGAATATAAGACAGACTCACCAGACTTAGGTCAAGGCCATTGTCTTGAATATTTTTCTGATTACTATTTTAGTAAAACAAAATTAATTTGTCATTAAAGGGTATCAGTGAAAGTGTCAATACTTAATATTTAATGACATTTTACTGACAAATTCAATTTGTAGCACTGTAGTCGAGGTCAAGAAAATTTTTTATGACGCTGTTATAAAATTCATGACTAAAATATAGTGGCCTCATAACAATCATGTTTATGACAGATTTATGACAAGTTTTATTGTCTTGGTAATGTAAAGTTGTCATGACAATGACAAAGACTGACTATGATGTATTTGTTTATGTCAAGTTGTCATAGCAACGCAAAGACATCTCAAACAGAAGCTGTCTCATTTCAGAGGCTGCATCCTCCACATGATGCATTCGAAGTGCGCTGCGTCATCGTGGCCTGATGAAGACTGTCTCATTTCGAAAAAATTTGAATGCTCCTTCTAACGCAGCCTAAAAATGCATCCTTTGTTTCCAAGGTAATGAAGGACACAACCGGTGGATCCTTCGCGGCCTCGAACGTCCCAAGATTCATTGCACGCTGATAACAGCAGGACTTTTTAAAAAGAAAACTCTAGTTTAAATGTATGAATTAGGTTTTATTTTACTTGGATATCTGAACACATGTTAAAAAAAAAAAGAGTATGTCATGTCTTACTAAAGAGTGATTTTATAGACAGTTTACAGTTTTATGTGTACATGTATGGATCAAAGAAAATATATTTCCAGCTTCTGTAAATCTTGTTTTGCCTTCAGATCGCTTAAGTAAGTTTTAAAATCACTTGGAAAAAAGTCATTACAAATGTTATTAGCGCCTATTAACAGCAGCTGTTACGGTTGCCTGGTGACGAGATCAGTCCTCTGTAGGCTAGATCGTCTCATTTCAAAACACTCGGTTCGGCTTGTGTGGACTTGGAAGGACTCACCTTTGAAGTCTGCATCCTTCGGAGGATGCAGCCTCTAAAATGAAACACAGCTAATGTCATCTTTGCATTTAAAATGACAACTGAGTGAATGACCCATATTTATGTCACATATTTAATGTCATGATTATGAATGTTTCATGATAGCCTTATGAACACCATTTCAAGTGAAGTGTTGCCAATTTTTTTCTTTTTTTGGTTGAAAATTATGTCATGTAAACACTTGAACTCACCGCTTATTGGAGCCCCAAAACAGCTCGCAACTCCCACCGCTGATGCCACAACCAACATTTCTCCTTTAGCTGCTCTCTGCCAGATGCAAATGAATGACACCACAAGAGTCATTAGCATAAGTAGCCTTCTATACAATTCCCATCTGGTTTTCATAAAATAAAATAAAAGTGGACTGTATGGTTCATGTATTATATTACAGTTTAGCTACCTGCTTTCCGCCACGACAGGAGACATGCAGACGGTTCATAAATGCACCAACCATGATAGATAAATGGACAAATGGGCCCTATTAAGATAATAAGTTTAAGGTCAATATATTCAGCAGCATGTCATTTTTTGATTAATCTTCACATCCTCATTTGCATATAAGATTTTTTTACCACTTTGCCAAGAAACACAGTGCTGCCAGCGGCTAGTGTGCATATCAGGCCAAACATTTTAGCAAACAGATTGGAGAGAGACAGGTAATCTGGCATGTCCACTCCTAAGAGAATAGCCCTCGCTTCAGGAACACCAGAGCCTGAGGGGTCGAGAGAAAAACATTATGCATGAGCAAATGGACCTGACGGACCTACTCAAGCAATACTCGACGTTTATGATTAAACATGTCCATGTTTCATATTGCCTCAGCTTAATCCCAATGCAATTGTCCCTGTCACTCACAGCAGCTTTGCTTACGAGGGTGTCAGGCCCATGCAGAGCTGACTGATTGGGTCAAGTGGATTAAATGTAATTTTTATGAAATTATATATTTGAAAATTATGCTTACTTTTGAAAAGAATTTGCTATAACAGTTATTTTATTTGGTCTTTTATATAACAAGGACCCTTTTTAAAATATAAAAGTCTTATATATAGTTGAAGTCAGAGTTATTTTTCTTTTTTAAATATTTCCCAAATGATGTTTAGCAGAGCAAGGAAATTTTCACAGTATTTCTGATAATATTTTTTTCTTCTGGAGAAAGTCCTATTTGTTTTATTTCAGCTAGAATAAAAGCAGTTTTAAATTTTTAAGAAAAACATTTTAGGGTCAATATTATTAGCCCCTTTAAGCTATATATTCTTTGGTCTACAGAACAAACCATCGTTAAACAATAACTTGTATTAATGAATGTGTACATTTTCTTGTATTAATTACATTATTTATTGATTTTTGTTTTGTATTTTTATACAATACAATATTTATTTATAAAGCACATTTAAAACAATCAAAGTTGACCAAAGTGCTATATATAGGAGGACTAAAGGCAGAGAAGAAAGCAGATTATAAAAGAAAGTTAACAAATAAAAGTAATAACAGTAAGAGAAAATAGATAGGGCTTTAAAAGGGACTTAAACACATAAATAGAGGGGTAAAGTCTAATGTGATTTGTTAGAGTGTTTCAGAGTTTAGGACCAGCAACTGCAAACTCTCGATCACCTCATTTTTAAGGCGTGTTCTAGGCATGATGAGTAAATAATTGAGAACATAAGGTCTCAATGAACGAGAAGGGCTATACAGCAAATCAAGTCAGTAAGGTATTGAGGAGCTAGATTATTGATGGCTTTGTAAGCAAATAATATAAATTTAAGATCAATTCGGTATTTAATGGGTAACCAGTGAAGTGCAGCTAAAATAGGAGTTACTGACTCATACTTGAGGGTGCCAGAGAGTAGTCTAGCAGCCGCATGTTGTACTAGCTGCAGACGAGAGAGAGAGAAGACTGAGAAATGCCATAATAGAGTTACAGTAATTCAGATGAGTTGTTATGAAGGCATGAATCACTGTTTGAAAATTTCTCTGGAATAAAAATGGCTTGAATTTAGACAGATGTTTGAGGTTTTTATCATTATTACTGTTGTTATTATTAACAAATAATAATATTAAATAAATAATATATATTATTATATTATTATTAATAATATTATATAAATTTTTTATTTTATTTTTCCATTTTAATATTTGTGCATGTTGTAAATCTGCCCATGATAACTGTTTTAGTACATATTATTATGGACAATAATTATGCTTTTCATTCTTCCAACTTCTAGGAAGTTATATATCAGTATTCTCAGATTGTATAAATCAAACTGGTAAAGTAAAGCAGAGCATTTTTAATTTTAAAAAGGCAAAAACTGACTACATGTTTTATTTTTCTGTGTGTTAAATGTTTTTGTTCTAATGTGCAAAGCAGGTGAGGTAACTCCATTTTCATTTTAGATCGGCTTCCCCTTTTTTTTTCTTTTTTTATATATAGTTTGACAGATTTAAATAATTACACATACACTGTATTAAACATGCCTATACTGTAAGTAAGAAGTATCTAAAGTGATGACAAAATTTGGTAGACCTGAAATTAATTTAATGTGTAACTTTTTTTTAATGTACTGAATAAAAATAAAATAAAATTAAATGAAACAAAATGATTGCCCTAATTTCTTAGTGCTGTGTAACCTGCAGAGTATGGGCAGACGCTGTGGGCGAAGCTGGTGGACAGAGCACAGAGGCAGGCTGGGTAAAGCGTCCAGCAGAGGAACTGCAGCAGGTGGTGACCCTTCAGACAGCCGTACAGCCACTGGTGGGCTAATAAGAGAGAGAGAAGGACACAGACCGAGGTGAGAAACTGTAAGGTCAAACCTGTTTTTGAAAGACCTTGCAACATTCAGCTGCTAGAACGACTCAAACAGTTAGCCGACCTGCATTCATCTCTATGTAAATTATTTACCAAACGCTTTCTGAGTGACATGGTGGAACCGCTCACCGTTTAGCAGCTTCGCCACAGTCATGTCCATGAAGAAGCTCATTAGAGCTGTGATGATCCCTAACAGAGCATAACAGTACCACTCCATGCTGGCGAGAGACACCAGGAGCTTCTTCACATTCAGCACACACTCTGGCCAGATGCAAACACATACACATAACAGATACAAATACAGACACATACATTAACATTAGTTGTTATAGCAGGGATAGTTCAAGCAAGAATGAAATTTCTGCCATCATTACTCATCCTTTACTTGATCCAAACCTGTTTATTTCTTCAATCAGCAAAGGAAGATATAACGAAGAATGCTGGAATAATGCTTCCATTGACTTTTATAGTATTTTTTGTTCTTATATCATACATGTCAATGGCTGTTATTCCTTCAGCATTCTTCAAGATATCTTGTGTTCAACAGAAGAAGAAAAAATCATAAAAGTGTAGAGTGTGAGGAAATGGTAAGGGAACTTTTGTTTTTGGGTGAGCTGTTATGACTCTATGATGTTTTTAAAGATTGATAGAGTTAGATCATTGATGATGAAGAAGAAATGGTGACTTAAATCTTCCACCTCACCTCTGATTTGTGAGCGTGATTGTGGCCATGGTTTCCATGAAGGCTCATTAGCACTGATTAGCTTTTCTTCCGCTGTAGCTTCCTCTCTCTTGTCTTCTTGTACACGCTGTTCATCATTTTCATTTTCTGGTTGCTTTACATTTACGCAAATATCGTCCATTGTCTGAAACACAACAAGGCACTTTTAAAGCAGTTTTATGGTCAGTGCTGTAGACAGGCTCTTTTTTGCTGTAATCTGTTCTTTTGTAGCTGTGAATTGTGTGAGTAAAATTATAGTGAAGGTAAATTCCTACAATAATTTAAACTAAATTCAGTGTTTCATCTACACACATGTAATTATTTTATGAGTAGTTTTGTATGAAAGGAAATCCGGGCCAAAAGTTTTAAACCTCATCCTCTCCATGTTTACAGCAATGCACTTGCACTTTACACTGTAGATGAAGCGTTCTGACTTGCACAAAATGATTTTGACTTGGACCAAATTGACCTTCGAATCTACAACCTATGAATATCACATAAAATGCTGTATGTGTGTGTGTTAAAACACATCAGTGTGTTGCATCCATGTTCATCAACCAAAATGAGAAAAAAGTAAAAAATCAACAAAAACAAAAGAATTTGTCAGTGCATGATTTTTCAGTTAATTTATTCGCTGAATGTGGTAAAATACTGAACTTTTCAGTATGTGTATGTGTATATATAATCTCTAATAACTGTTTTATTTTATCTTTGACATTTATAATGCAAAACTGAAACTGTATTCTAGCCGAAATGAAACAAATAAGACTTTCTCTAGAAGAAATAATATTATCAGACATACTGTGAAAAAATCCTTGCTCTTTTTAATATAATTTGGGAAATATTTAAAAAAGGAAAAACAAAATTCAAAGGGGGGCTAATTATTCTGACTTCAACTGAATGTAGTGTGTGTGTGTGTGTGTGTGTGTGTGTGTGTGTGTGTGTGTGTGTGTGTGTGTGTGTGTGTGTGTATATTTATATATATATGTTGTTAAATTTTTTATACTTTAAATATTTAATTTATTTACATGTTTAATAATTCTTTATTTTTATTTAATTTTAATATTTTAATTTAGTAATTTTTTTTTAATTAATTTAAATTATTTTTTAATTGTTCCTTTTATAATAATGGGTTTATTTATCTTAATATTTTAATATTGTTTTGTATTAATTACATTCTTTATTAATTGTTATTTTGTACTTTTATCATTATTACAATTATTATTATTTGTAGTAATACTTCTAGCAATACTGAACTGTGTGCACAGAAGAGGCTTAAAGGGATAGTTCAGATAAAAATTCACATTTCCTCAGCATTTACTCACTCAATAAGTTCTAAATGTTTATGATTTTCTTTCTTCTGTTAAACACAAAAAAAGATATTCTGAAGAACATTAGAAAAAAAACAGTCATTGATGTTTATAGTAGGAACAAAAAAATACAATGGAAATCAATGGCTGTTTTTTTCTCAACATTCCTCAGTATATCTTAGACAGGTTTGCATCAAGTGGAGGAGAAGTAAATGATGACAGTTTTTATTTTTAAATAAACTATACCTTTAAGCACTATGATGAACTGACAAATTCATTTACTGTACGATGTGAGGGATTTCTGATGATACATTGATTCCTTGCACTCTTTATAACATACTGACTCAAAGGTAACAAATGATATGGTCGTTTTGTCATGTCATTCAACTTAACAGAAAGCCATGAATACCGCAAATGATTAAAATGTCACAGCAAAGTCATCCGAAATGAAAATATTCAATTTAAAGAGAGCTCACCTTTCAGCCGGTTGACTCATTCCACATGAAAGACCGTTGAGGTCAGTAGCAACTCCGTCACCAGATGCAGCATGAAAGGAAAATTAAGCTTTAACTTATTTATGGTGCACGTCCTTCCCTGCTTTGCCTTTGGGCAGGTACTGAATTGGAACAATTTAAGATTGAAGTTTCCTTTTTTGTTTTCCCTGAAAACCCATTTTGATCTCACAAATGTCATCGGGACGCAGCTCGTTTTGGCATTTTGGAACGTTTAATTAGGCGGTCAATTAAATGACCTGTGCGATGTGCTGTGAATCTTTGTTGTTAAGGGGGATAGTGTTTGAAAGTGATAAAACCCGACTGACCTTTAGAAGTGACATTGGTCTCTCGCTCGCTTTTATAATTCCAGACTACAGTATGTTTTTTAACAGGTGAAAAGAGCAATATAAATTAGAAAGTGCACCCGTGTATTGCATAATTTAGAATGTGATTGGCTCCTTATACGGTCTCTGTTTGAGCACTGATTCATATTGCATTAACCTTCGCTCAAGGTGACAGCAATCACACACACCTAATTAGTCACTTGACTCAATGTCGCATACAATCGTGCATTTTCAGTAAGCTTTTTCATTTCACACATATTTTTTAGTACCACATACAATGTAAAAATATCTGTAAATTAGGGCTGCAAAATATTGGAAAAATCTAACATTACGATTTTTTTACAAATTTATTCTGCAAAAAGTTTCTTATTAAAATACAATTACAATTCCATTTTTATTTTAATTTGTTTTACAGCAAAGTGCATAAGAACATAGTTTACAATTAAAACTTGTTTTACCCAATCCGTGTGTTCTGCATTGTGGATAAATATAAATAACGTCACAATAATGAAGGGCAAACAACTTGCATTACGGTAACCTCGCACACGTAAATTCAAACAACATTCATCAGTGGTATACAGTATATATAGTAGTACACACACACACACACACACACACACACACACACACACACACACACACATATATATATACAGTACATATATATATATATATATATATATATATATATATATATATATATATATATATATATATAT